ACCCGAATTGTGCCTTGCAGAGTAGTTTGTGGTGTTAATTCTTTCATGTTTTCCACTTCGTCGACTATGTCAGGGATCGAGCTGCCCGATCAGCTCGCGGGAGTCGAGGGGGCAGCGCCCCTTGGCGGGTTTGGGGTAGCACCCAGGTGGGGTCGAGGGGCAACGCCCCCGAAGCAAAAGGAAAAATTACAGTCGAAGTTGTTTGTCTGCTCGAGTGGCCATTCCTGTGCTCGAGCGGAAAACACGACCTTGCAGAAGTTTCACTCGCTTGCAAAAGTACTGGAAGTTGTTTTTTCCCACTCGAGCGGCCATTCCTGCGCTCGAGCGTAGATCCGCTCGAGTGGCCATTTTTACACTCGAGCGGAGATCGCAGATCTATTTTCTATAAATTTGTGTTTTAGTTCGATTTTAGGGTACGACTTTATAGGGGTTGGTTCAATTCGGGCGTGGATTCGTTAGGTATTGAGAGTACACTTGTGTAATTCCTTTTGTCTTCTTAGTGGATTGTTTTGTGACTTTTGCCCGTGGTTTTTTTTATCACAATTGGAGGCGCTCCAATTGTGGTTTTCCACGTTAAAATCGTTGTGTCGATTTGTCTTGATTGTTTGATTGAGATTGTTATTTACTGCTTAAAATTGATACGTAATCACAAATCAATATCTAGGGGATTTTTATATTTTTCAACTTCAATTTCCAATATCCATGTAGCAAAATCAATGCCCAAACTATTTTAGAAATATATATATATATATATATATATATGTGTACGGGAGCGAAATATCCTCTGTTTTCCGTACTCATTGGTCGTCAAGCTTCTTGCGGCGGCGTCTATCTCTGCAACAAAAAAATGGTGAGCTGCCCGGCGGTGGTGTGCCGGAAAGACCCTCCGACGATCAAGTCAGGCCACTAGCTAAAGAAGAAGGCTATCAGAGAGAGAGAGTTTTTGATATGATGAATTCGCTTACCTCCAACGTCCCTCTTCCTCCATATTTCTAGGCTGGCCATGCAGCCTCAAGATTGTGCGCGCACTACCTCTGCTGTCCTTCCCTAGACAGATGGCAGTGCTCGCCTCTCACCACCTTACGCGTGTAAAGGCTTAGTCCTCCCTCCAGTACACACAGAACTACCCAACGGTATTGAGGCGTGCGTGGAGTGGATGTCCTCTCCTTCACGTCATTGGCCCAGGTGGCATACTTAACCGGAGTACCACGACCGGCCTGTCACTTGTGGAGAGTCGCTATTACATGCTCATAACCGAGCTATGTGTCGCCGACCTATAACTTGGAATCAGGCGAAAGCCTGCCCACCTCGGCCGAACTATCATTGGTCGGTTCATCATGACCATCCGGTTACGAGGCATGCCGGCCTCCAACCGGTCTACCTTCAATCTTGGTCACACGAAGCCACTTTATATCGACTGACCGGTCCAAGGTGCACTGGCCTTGATCGCGCCCAAGGACTAGCTCAGGCTGCCTTTTAGCCCGGTCAGCATCCGCTAACCCAAGCTCCGTCCAACACGTTCAAGACGCAGCTCAGCTATGCCAGTTGGTGCCTGACCGGTCAATATTTCCGACCGTGCAAGGCAGGCCGCTGGCCATGTCAACAGAGATTACCTCGGCACTGCGCGGTCCGTCACGTCTGACGTTATCTCAGCTCGGCCGTACAGTCAGGTGCAAATCTCCTCTCTCAATTGCCCCTTAAACCCATCTGAGCTATCGTGATTGGGTTTACCTTTGTGACCGAGCTAATCGGTTGAATTGCGCCATTACCAAGCCGAGCATTATGGGGAAATATCTGGCGCCGAGCTGTCCCGTTCCGCCGGCCATCGTGTCGGCAGTCTTGTCAAGGGTCGTACGGCCGTACAGCCGTACTGACAGCCGCGTTTCCAGTGTCAAGTGGCTTCACGCCATTGGGTCGTGCAGCCAGCTGTTCTGCACGCACAGAATTCAAACAACTGCGCCGTTTGGATGGTTTCCCCTCTTTTTATGCACAGGCCAAGGGTCATTCGAACCCTTCACTCTCCATCTTCTTCCAGAGCTCCAAACCCTAGCCTCCTATCACTCCAAGCTCCCAACTGTTGCTGCCCCTTGCTGTGTCTGCCATTCCTGACGTTACAGTCGAGCTCTCGAGGCCTAACTCACTTCTCATTCGTTTTCGGTAAGTCACACTACCCCTCCCTTGTATTTTCTGCTCCCGTTTTCCAGTTCTCCCTGTTCTCTGCATTTTTCTGCCACTGTGTTTGGTGTTCCCTGCCTGGGACCTTTAAGGTTCCTCCTTTTTAGTAAAATAGTGCCATACCTTAGGAAAACTGGATCTGGTGGAGTGGAGGGGGCTTTTGTGCCCCTGTTTTCCCTTAGTTTGAACGAATGAGCCTTGAGCATAGAATAAACGAGATGAACAGGATGAACACTGTTCAAAACCGATCTAAATGCTCGTTTAGATCCGTAGAGAGAGTTTAAACCGAGCAAGAATGGTTTGTGGATGCTCGCTGAGGCCGCAACCGAGCTAAATGCTTAATAAAATCGACAAACAGGTCTAACCGAGCTAAAACTTGCCTTGACTAAACCAAAGATAGAATCAGAGCCAAACCAGGAAGGCTAAATCAGCCGTGCCGTCCAGCTGAGATAGGGATAGACCGACCAAAAACCCAAAAACAATCACCGAGCTAAAAAATCCAGTGTGAGCCGTGCAGTTTATGCCGTGCTAACCCTTGAAATTCTTTCTTAATCAATGCAGAACAAACAAGGACCGACCAAGCCCTTCAGCGTTACCACTGGTGGAGCTCAAAGTCCGAGCAAATACACCAGCATTTTTGACCGGGATACACACTAAACCAAATAGAACCGAGATAATGGGGAAGTACCGATTTATGGTAAGCTCGCCTGGCGCGATGGCTGAATTTAGAAGGGAGTACAACGTTCCTGATGACGTCATCTTAGAACTCGCCAAAAAAGGAGACACACCATGGGGCGACTTAGACCGGTGCCCCGTCACGGTCGTTTCCATTGTTGAAGGAGGGCTTCGCTTCCCCGTGCAACCTTTGATCTGTGAATTTTTGAGGCAGACGAGGCTTTGCCCGACCCAAGTTTCAAATAACACATACAAAATAATAAACGGCGTCGCCGAGCTAAATCGGAGGCTCGGTTTAAATCTCGGTCTTGCAGAAATTTTCCACCAATATAGCCTAAGTAGAAATAAGAGTGGGCTTTGCTGGTACCTCAAAGTCAAGAAGGGCCGAGCAAAACTCATTGAAGGCAACCCAGACAAAGAAACTAACGACGACGACTTCCTCTGGGTGTCCGGTGCTTACGAGGACACCGAGGCGCCCATATCGGGCTGGTACATTAGGAAAGATTTTGGCAGTGCTGGTAAGTAGCCCGGTTGACCGCACTATCCTCTTTCTGTATTTCATTATTATAATTTTGCACCGGTCTAACACTTATCTCCTTTCTGCAGATAAGTACCTAGTAGCGGACTACCACCAGGCCAACCAAGAGGCCATTAGAGTCCTGCTTCGCCATCCAGCCGAGGAGAGGGAGGCATCAAAACTTCTCGGTTTCGACCAAACCTACCATTACCAAGCGCCGCGCAAGAGCAGAGTCACCGACTTCCTACGTGCGCCATCCCCTGAACCAGATCCCAACTTGCCACCAATCAGACTCGTCCCCCTTACAGCCGAGCAAGAAATGGCCAAGATAAGGGTGATCAAATCAATGATTACTGGAGAGGAAGGGCTGTCCCAGCCTCCAGAGGCGACTGGGGGAACATCTTCCACCCCAGCCGGGCAAACAGAAGGAGCTGTGCTTGCTCTCGCCAGCGAACAACCGGCTGGCCGATCAAAGAAAAGGACAAGGAAGGAGATGACCGGGCAAAACCTCATTGATGAAGATTCAACTGAGGTCGCCTCAATCGAACCGGGGGACCGGACCGAGTAACCGCTGGCCGAAAAATCCAAGGGCAAGGGCCCAGCCAAACCCCGGTCTGGGCGCCCGAGTTCAAATACCAGGGCCGGGCAGTTTCTTCTGAGGACTCCGTTTACGCGGACAAAGATTACTCGCTTGGTTTCAATTTGACCAAGGGGTTAATCTTGCCCGCCGATATGAAAAAACATGACGAGCTTTCCGAGCTCAAGGTCCTCCGCTCGGCGGCGAAATCCATAGTGCTGGTAAGTTCTCCATTTTTTTATGTCAAACTGTTTGCTCGGTTTTTGCGCAGTTTTTCGAGTACTAACGATCTCTCGCTGGTTTTCAGGCTGCGCAAAAGAACTACTTGGCCCACGATCGGATGATCAAAGTGCGGCAGAGCCTGCGCGATGCCATCTCGGAGAACAAGGCCCAGAAAGGCGAGATAGCAAAACTCAAGGCTGCGCAAGAAGCAGTCGTGGCGGAGCGAGATACCTTGCTCCAAAAAGTCGACCGAGCTAGCGAGGAAAAACAACGAGCCGTGAAGTCGACGAAAGCTCGGTATCTCGTTGAGCTGCGGAAGCTGCGCGACGCCCATAAGGAAGAAAGGGACAAAGCGGTCGATGAGGCAGAGGACCGTGGATATAAGCAGGGGGAGAAAACCTACGAGCGCCAAGTCCAAGCGACCAAGGACATCTTTTTCCAGTGCGGCTGGAAGGCTGCCGTGGAAAAAGTTGGCCTTGGTCAAGATGCCAAAATGTTCGTGAACCCCCCTGCAGCATATATCCTGGTCTATATACAGGCCTACGCCAGTGCTACCCAAAACCGGCTCATTGCGGAGGCAAGGAAGGAGGCCGAGGAAGAAGCCGCCGCCGCGCGACAAGCCGAGCAAACTACTGCCGAAGTATCACAAGATGACGAAGTGGCTGATCGGGATGTTGCCGTGGGGGATGGAGTTGATGACGACGCCGAGGAAAACTTGCCCGAGCAGACAATTGTGATGGCCGAGCAGACGGTGCAGGCAGCCGGACAAACTGTAGATCTTGAAATGGATTGAAAATTTCCCCCATTTTTTTTGGCATGTAACCGGGCCAGGCCTCACCTTTGTACTGAATCTTCTTCAATCAATGAAACTTTTGAACCTTTTGTTCGTATATCGTCTATTTCTTTTCGGTTGGCTTGTGTATAAATGTCTCGATTTAAACGTTGATAATTCACAACTGGCAGGCTAGCTGAGCCGCGCAATATGCCAAGTTAAAATCACCAAGAATGTTTTCCAACATATCTGGCAGCTCAGCTCCTTGAAAATTTAAATGAACTGACATTGTAACTTGGCCGAGCAAAATCCGCTCAGTTTGAAATGTTTGCAGAATCATACATTTCCATTACATCAATGAGACCGAGCAAAAATCAGCTCGCCTTGTGAGTTGGTTAAGCTGCCAACATTTCCTTTCGGCCGAGCCAAGTCAGCTCGGCCTCTTTTCGGTTGGACAAAACGCCAGCACCGAGAAATCCTGCCGAACAAAATCCGCTCGTTTCCCATATTAGACAAGACACTGATATGCCAACTGGGCCGAGCAAAATCAGCTCGGCCCTTACATTGGGCAAAACACCAATGTTTTAGCTAGGTTGGTTGTGACGCCAACATTTCGACCGGGCGAGGGGAACCAGCTCGGCCCTAGGCTAATGCGAACTTTTCCGTACAGAAACTTTTTGTGCGGTCTGTCTCCATTCCAGCGAGATGAAATCAGACCGGTCTCATTCAGGGTGGTCTCCTTGCCCCTGGCATCCATGATTGCCTTGTGTCCTTGCGATTTCATTGTACAGAGATGTAATACCAAACAAGAGTGCTATTTTTATTACAAAAGCATTGCTATCTTTTACATCTAGTGCCAAGAGGCTAAGGAAGACACCGATATGCCAACTGGGCCGAGCAAAATCAGCTCGGCCCTTACATTGGGCAAAACACCAATGTTTCAGCTAGGTTGGTTGTGACGCCAACATTTCGACCGGGCGAGGGGAACCAGCTCGGCCCTAGGCTAATGCGAACTTTTCCGTACAGAAACTTTTTGTGCGGTCTGTCTCCATTCCAGCGAGATGAAATCAGACCGGTCTCATTCAGGGTGGTCTCTTGTCCCTGGCATCCATGATTGCCTTGTGTCCTAGCGATTTCATTGTACAGAGATGTAATACCAAACAAGAGTGCTATTTTTATTACAAAAGCATTGCTATCTCTTACATCTAGTGCCAAGAGGCTAAGGGTCTGGAACAACATAAGCAAATTACAATTCAAAAGTAAAAAACCTTAAGGTTGGCTGCATTCCATGGTCTGGGGACAGCCTTACCATCCAAATCTTCCAGATGGTATGCCCCTTTGCCAGCTAGACCAATCACCTTGTATGGTCCTTCCCAATTCGCACCGAGCTTTCCTTCGCCAGGGACCACCGTGTTGCCAAGTACCTTTCTCAAAACCCAGTCCCCGACCTTGAATAGCCTGGGGTGCACCACCTTGTTGTATTTCTTGGAGAGTTCTTGTTGATAAGCTGAGATGTGGATTAGTGCCCGCTCCATTCTTTCCTCGGCAAGGTCTAATTCCAACGCCACGGCTTCATTATTCAGATCAGGCTGGAAACTTTCAGAGCGGATGGTTGGCATGCCAATTTCCAACGGGATGACCGCCTCCATGCCGTAGGCCAAAGCGAATGGTGTTTCCCCGGTCGACCTTTTTGCGGTAGTGCGGTATGCCCAGAGCACGTTGGGAAGTTCCTCAGCCCATTTCCCCTTGGCTTTTTCAAGCCGCTTCTTTAGCCCATCCAAGATGGTCTTGTTTGAGGCCTCTGCTTGACCGTTAGACTGAGGATAGGCCGGCGTCGAATTGTAGAACTCGATCTTCAACTCTTCGCAAAGTCCGCGAAAGAGCTTCCCATCGAATTGAGTGCCGTTATTTGAGACGAGGGCCCTGGGTATACCAAAGCGAGTAATGACGTTTTGCCAAACAAACTTCTTCACATCCTTTTCCTTTATGGTTGCCAGTGGCTCGGCCTCCACCCACATGGTGAAGTAGTCGGTGGCGACGATGAAGAACTTGCGATTGCCCGGCGCTGCTGGGAGTGGTCTAACAATATCCAATCCCCAAAGCGCGAACGGCCAAGGACTTGTGAGAGGGTGCAAATCTCTTGCCAGCTGGTGGATCTGGTGAGCGAACTTCTGACACTTCTCACACCTGCGAACATATTTCTGTGCGTCCGCCTGCATGCACAGCCACCAGTAACCTTGGGAAATTGCTCGGTACGCCAAGGACCTGCCTCCAGTATGGCTTCCACAGATGCCCTCATGTATTTCGTAGAGAAAAGTCTCCACTTTGGCGGGGTGGACACACTTCAAATACGGCCCGGTGAAGGACTTCTTATACAAGGCTCCAGATGGGGAAAGCCAAAACCGCTCTGACTTTGCTCGAATTTTGTGGGTTGCCTTCTTTTCTTCCGGTAGAACTCTGTCTTTTAAGAAGGCGATGATGGGATCCATCCAGGAAGGGCCCAAGTCGGTGCAGAGCACCTCGGTTGCTTCTGGTTCCTCAATGCTTGGCCGGGGTAAAAACTCTATCATCAAGGGGTTAGGAAAAGCTGTCTGAGTGGAGGCGAGCCCAGCCAATTCATCAGCCGAGTTGTTTTCTTCGCGGTTGATCTGTTCCACTCTTATCGCAGGGAACTTCTTGATTTCTTCTCGCACCAACGCTTGATACTTGGCCATTCTTTCATCCCTTGCCTCATACTCTCCTGATATCTGATTGACCACCAGCTTGGAGTCGCTGAAGACCATAAGGGCGGTGGCTTTCATTCTCAATGCGCTTCTCAAACCGGTGAGGAGGGCTTCATACTCTGCCTCGTTGTTGGACGCCGGGAATCCGAGCGTAATTGCTTGCTCAATAATCAGCCCATCTGGTGAGGTCAGCACAATTCCCAGCCCGGCCCCATGCCTGTTGGACGCTCCATCGACGAAGAGCTTCCACATCTCGCCAATGAACAGCTTCCAACAATCAGACGGGTTTTGGGAGCTTCTCAATTCAATGTCTCTGGCCGGCTCGTTCTGGTCTTTTTTCTCGTCTCCATTGGGTTCATCTTCCAACGAGTTGTCGGGCTTTGCTAGTTCGGTCAAACTTTGCCCTTTTCCCACGTGCGAGCCAACGCTCGTCTCCGTTGCCAAAACCTTGGGTTGTGCTAAATCCGCACCAACCAAATCAATCGGGCAAACTGGATGCGTCCCAGGGGCAAATTCCGCCACGAAATCTGCAAGAGCTTGAGCTTTGACCGCGGTGCTCGGGCGGAACCTGATGTCATACTGCCCCAATTCCACGGCCCACTTCAGAATCCTCCCGGTGAAGTCGGCCTTCTCAAAGAGCACCTTGAGAGGGAATTCGGTCAGCACAACTATTGTATGGGCATGAAAATAGTGTGCTAGCTTTCTCGACGCCATCATTAGGGACAATGCCAATTTCTCCAAGGGAAGATATCTTGTTTCGGCCGGGAGCAGGGTCTTGCTTACATAGAAGATTGGTAGGTGCTGGATGCCTTCAGCACGAATCAATACCGCGCTCACCGCGTGTTGAGAAACAGCCAAGTAGAGGTACAGCTCTTCGCCCGGCTGAGGCGTGACCAAAATTGGGGCTGAGGAGAGATACGCTTTTAAGTCCGCCAGTGCACGGTCGCACTCTTCATCCCAGAAGAACTTGGACTTCAGAGTTTTGAAAAAGGACCTGCAACGATCTGAAGACCGGCTGATGAATCTGTTCAGCGCAGCCGCCATCCCGGCGAGATGTTGCACGTCCTTTGTAGAATTCGGGCGCCCCAGCTCTTGTATCGCTTTGATCTGGGATGGGTCGGCTTCAATTCCCCGGTTTGTAACCAGAAAACCCAGAAACTTTCCAGTGCCAACTTTGAAGGCGCATTTGGAGGCGTTCAGACGAAGCTTATGGTGCTTAAGTATGGCGAACATTTCTGCTAGGTCGGTGAGGTGTTCAGACTTCTCCTTACTCTTTACCACCATATCGTCGATGTAGGCCTCCATTGTTCGGCCCAAGAGAGGAGCGAACATTTTTCTAACCATCCACTGAAAGGTTGCTCCGGCGTTCTTTAGTCCGAACGGCATGACTTTGTAACAATATAATCCCCTGGGGGTAATGAACGATGTAATCTCTCTGTCCGGTTTATACATGGCTATCTGGTGTTAGCCGCGATAAGCGTCCAGGAAGCTAAACCTCTGATGGCCAGCGGTCAAGTCCACCAGTTGGTCAATCCAAGGAAGGGGAAAGCTATCCTTAGGACAAGCCCGGTTGACAGTCTTGTAGTCAACGCAGACTCGCCACTTGCCATTTTTCTTGGGAACAACCACCGTGTTGGATATCCACCGAGGGTATTGCACTTCTTCTATAGCCCCGGCTTCCAACAAGTTCTTCACTTCTTCCGCCACCACTTCAGCATGGTGCAGGGCTGAACGGCGCGTCCTTTGAATGATTGGCCGTGCGTTGGGGAAAACATTCAACTGATGATAGATGAAGCTCGGGTCGACGCCAGGCATGTCGTAAGGCGTCCAGGCAAAGGCCTCCAAATTGGAAACCAAGAAGTTGACATAATCCTCTTGCTCGGCGCTAGTCAAAGATGATCCCAAGAGGAAGAATTTAGTTGGATCGTTTTCGTCAAAGCGCACTTCCACCAAATCTTCGACCAATTTTTCCTCGGCCTTCCTTCCCACGTCTTCAAGGACCTCTTTTTCCTCGGGTCCCTCGATCATTTGGACAAACCCTTTGGCTGCTCGGCTGCCATTTACCGCAACGAAGCATTGTTTTGCCATCACCTGGTCTCCCCAAACTTCCTCTATTTGCCCGCTTGACGCCGGAAAGCGCATGGCTTGGTGAAAGGTCGAGGCAACCGCTTGCATGGCGTGCAGCCAGCCCCTACCTAAGATCAAGTTGTAGGTGGATGGAACTTTGAGCACCCAGAACTCCACTTGCTTTACTACTGAACCCGCTTTGACCGACAAAATAATCTTTTCGATTGGCCACTCTGGCTGTGAATTGAAGCCGACCAAAGGAGACGTCGCAGGGGCCAAGTCCTTGTCTTCTAACTTCATCTGTTTGAACACGTCATAATACATGATTTCGACCGAACTCCCCTGGTCGATCAAGATTCTCTTGATATCAAAGTCCTTGACGCGAAGAGTGACTACTAAGGCATCATTGTGCGGCATCTGAACTCTTTCCAAGTCCTTGGTTGAGAATGAAAGGATGTCCCTTTCTTCGGTCTTTCCTTTCTTCACAGCGGGCTGAACAGAGAGCACTTCCCTCATGTGCTCGGCCTTCTTGATCATTCCCCTCAGCTCGCAAACCCTAGCCGGTTCAATGATTCCGTGGATGACGTTGATTACACCTTGCGGGGGCGCTTCTAGGGCGGCCAGGCCGATTGGCTCGACTTGGTCTACTGGCGTGGCCTTGATGCCCCGCCGCCACCAACTCCTCTAAGTGTTGTTTGAGCGGCAGGCAGTCCTCTGTTCGGTGCCCCCGTTCTTCATGAAAGGTGTAGCGATATTTTGAATTGAAGCCTCTCTGGGCACTCCCCAACTTGGCCGGCCAACGGACGAAGGGTTCGCTTCGAATCTCGCTCAAAATGCGGTAGATGGGGATTTTAAACACCGTGGTGATCCCAGTCCGTGCCTTCAATTTTCTTTTGGCATCCTCCGCTGCATCACAGGGAGGGTCTGCCCGGTCGTTTCGGCGCCCCTTGTTTCTGTTATCACGGTTTGGACCATGGCGCTGGTCTTTCGACCGGTTGTTTGGGCGGCTATCCTCCTGCCCAACCGAGTGAACTTTCCCCGTGACCCTCCTGTCCGCCGCGACCGGATTAACCTTCTCGGTCGCGGAGGCGGTATCATCCTCCACACGAATGTGCTCATTGATCCGCTGCATCAATGACTCCATGGTTGTAGGTTGATGCATCGTGAGTGAATCTCGCAGCCTATGTCCGACTGGGAGACCCTGTTTGTACTGAGTGATCGCCAGATTGGTGGGGCAGTCGAGGATCTCATTGTAAGTTTCCCAGTATTTCGCATTATATGCCTTCAACGAACACCCAAACTCCATTTTGACGCCCAGGAGATGGTCGACCTCCTTCGGCGTTCGTGTGTTGGTTTTGAATTTGGTGACGAAGGCTTCCGCTAGCTGCTGCCACCCCTCTATACTCCCCTCCGGGAGCCTTTCAAACCACTTCAGACCCAGCTCTCCCAAGCTTGCTGGGAATATGAGACACATCAGAGCGTTGTTGCGCCAGTGGCCAGCCATCACCTGCTGATAATGACTCAAGTGCATGTACGGATCCGTTTTGCCGTCGTACAAAGTGAACTTTGGCTGGTGGAATCCGGCGGGGAGTGGCGTACTCTCAATCTCTGGAGACAGCGGTGTGGCTGTAAGTCGCGCCAGCTCTTTGTCCTCCAGCGCAGGGGCCATCACTTTGGGGGCTGGCATCGCCACTTCCTCACTGTAACGCACTGGAGCGCTTATCCTCTGCAGTGCCGGCACTCTTCGAGCCTCCCGACAGCGTGCCCTCTCTTCCAATACATCCCTCAAGTCCCTGGAACATGTGGAGAAAGAGGATCCCGACGTCGGCGTCGGGCATGAGGGGCGGTATGTGTTGTCACGAGAGAGGGACCTGCCCTCCTCTTGGCTGGAGCCTCTAACCCCATAGTTCCTGGTGATGGAGAGAGAGTGGGTCCTCCCCTGGCGGCGACTGCTCCAACGAGGGGATGGGGTGCGCTCACTGAGGTTGCCCTCTTCAGCAACACCTTTCCCTTTGATCTGGCGTTTCAGCAGCTCCATCTCCGCCGCCATCTTGCGAATGATGGTGTCTTGGTCCTTGAGTTTGTGCTCCAGGCGCTGCGCATGGGACTCCCCCCGGCGTCTGCGGCCTCCAGGACTCTGCGAGCGATCAGCACTCCTTCCGCGTTTGTCTCGCGCACTCCACGAAGGAGTTTCTAGGCCTGCCATGGCTGGAATATTCAGAGGACCTTCTCTCAAGCGGGCGTACTCAGGGGTGACGCCATCGACGACGGACAGTGGGGCTTCGCCGTTGTTGGCCATGGAAATGATCGAAGAAGCTCTGAGAACAAGGGTTGAGTATCAAAAAACTTTCCACAGACGGCGCCAATTGTACGGGGGCGAAATATCCTTTGTTTTCCGTACTCCTTGGTCGTCAAGCTTCTTGCGGTGGCGTCTATCTCTGTAACACAAAAATGGTGAGCTGCCCGGCGGTGGTGTGTCGGAAAGACCCTTCGACGATCAAGTCAGGCCACTAGCTAAAGAAGAAGGCTATCAGAGAGAGAGTTTTTGATAGGATGAATTCGCTTACCTCCAACGTCCCTCTTCCTCCATATTTCTAGGCTGGCCATGCAGCCTCAAGATTGTGCGCGCACTACCTCTACTGTCCTTTCCTGGACAGGTGGCAGTGCTCGCCTCTCACCACCTTACGCGTGTAAAGGCTTAGTCCTCCCTCCAGTACACACAGAACTGCCCAACGGTATTGAGGCGTGCGTGGAGCGGATGTCCTCTCCTTCACGCCATTGGCCCAGGTGGCATACTTAACCGGAGTACCACGACCGGCCTGTCACTTGTGGAGAGTCGCTATTATATGCTCATAACCGAGCTATGTGTCGCCGACCTATAACTTGGAATCAGGCGAAAGCCTGCCCACCTCGGCCGAACTATCATTGGTCGGTTCATCATGACCATCTGGTTGCGAGGCATGCCGGCCTCCAACCGGTCTACCTTCAATCTTGGTCACACGAAGCCACTTTATATCCATTGACCGGTCCAAGGTGCACCGGCCTTGATCGCGCCCACGAACTAGCTCGGGCTGCCTTTTAGCCCGGTCAGCATCCGTTAACCCAAGCTTCGTCCAACACGTTCAAGACGCAGCTCAGCTATGCCAGTTGGTGCCTGATCGGTCAATATTTTCGACCGTGCAAGGCAGGCCGCTGGCCATGTCAACAGAGATTACCGCGGCGCTACGCGGTCCGTCACGTCTGACGTTATCTCAGCTCGGCCGTATAGTCAGGTGCAAATCTCCCCTCTCAATATGTAAAACGATCCTACCATGAAAGTCTGAGCCGTCCAATAAGTAAGAGAAACACAAATGAAAGATCAACTCTAATTCACATCCATATCATCATATATAGTGGGGGTAACCAACTAATTTCAATGTTGAATGACCTGAAAAATAAGAAAAGAAATTAAGTATTGAGACTATTCAATGAAAATATATTTATTTTAAAAATAGTTATATGTTGATTTATTTAAGTACCTTGCATCTTTATAGCCCACAACAAACTCTGTGCACACATCAATGCTTCCAAAGTATCTGGATGAAGTCTACTCTGATATGGGCTTACCAACCTACCACTAGTGGAAAATGCAAACTCAAAAGCAACAGTGGATACTAGAATAGCTAAAAATCATTAGCTATTGAACTTTGATGCATTTGATTTTCACCAATTCAACACATCAAAATTGGGGGTTCTTGTCAAACATTATCTTCTAAATAATGGTCTAACTCTGATGTTACATTATTGACTTTTTTACTTTGCTTTCTGAAACTACCTCTGATTTCCCAAAATTTGAACTCGTAGAAGATTCAACATCAGCATCATTCCCCAAACTAAGCTTTCTTTGATACTCTTGCAACAAATCATAACAAAGTTTCAATTTTCTCTTTAGCTGTACCTCCATAAAGTTTATCAAAATGAAACTTCAACTCACTAAGTATGTGCTTAGGATCAAGTATAGCAGCAACTCCTATAAGGCCATGTATGACAACCCAATATTGATCAAACTTTCCCAACATTTTTATGCCACTAATCTAACCACCTCACACTACAAGAAACTACACTTTTGCGACTTAAAATTTAGTTGCAGAAAGTCTCTTTTTAGTTGGCAAAAGTCTTCTGCCACAAATTTTTTTAGTCGCCACTTTGGTCACGGATACATGGTCTGCAAAAGTAATTTGTGACTAAAAAATTTTTTGGTCAGGAAAAATAACAGATTTGTCGTCTGAACTTTTGGTCGTTGAACATTTTACTACCGTGACTAAACCATTTTGTAGCTAAAAACCTTTAGTCGCCACAAGTACTATTTTTTTGACCAAATATATTAGTTTCCAATGTACCATACCCCAACCAAAAATTTTAGTCCCCAAACAATGTTTGCGTGACTAAATATTTAGTCGGCAATACACCTATTTGCTGACCAAAAACTTTGGCTGCCAAAATTAATAATTTTATCGATTAATTATTTAGTCGCCAAATGTACCCTTTCACCTACTAACATTTTGGTCGCCAAATGTGAATGGTGAAATACTGACTAACAATTTTAGTTGGTAAAAGTATAAGTTATTTTTTCTGACCAATCGCTTAGTCGCCAAAAGAGGAAAAACCAAACAAAATTTTGGTCGCCAATTCAATTATTTTTGTTTATCAAAATAAAAATAAAATATTATTTTAATACCATTTGACATGTATGGTATAATAACAATCCATCCGATCCATTTAATATAACCTATAATTTGCAACAATCATTCAAACCATCAAAATAGATAAATCATGAACATCTAACAAAAAATATAAATCATCTAATCCTTAACATGTTTAATTAAAGTCGTTAAATATTTTAAGTTCTTATCCAAAAGTAATTCCAAACTATATAATCATCCAATTCACATCCATCTAGCATAAAAATTTAAAACATAACAAGTACTTGTTATTATGTTTTAAATTTTTATCCATACGTATCTATTCGAAAATATAACTAGTAGTGTACCCAAATATTTGCCATACACATCTATCCAAAAATTTATAATTCTTCAAAAAATATAACAAGTGCCAACTAGTCTTGTACAATTTAGCATTCAGTTTCGTGCACGAGTTTATCCATCTATACAAAAGAAAAAGAAAAATAATGACAGTTAATTTTTTTATGAAAATAAAATTGGACAAAAAACGAAAAAGGTCCACAAATTAAGGGATTATTAATACCATTTTGTAAATAAAAAAACAGCATTCATATGTATATATCCAATCAACAATACAATTCTATCAATATCAATGCACCACACTAATAAAAATTCTGCTACTAATGAATGTATGTCCCGCAAATTAAATGGTATTAAAAAAAAAAGAAAGAAGAGGAAATAAGCTCCACATTGATCCAGTACTAGCTTCCAAAAAGCTTTATCTATACACTTGCTATAACCAACATCTCAAACATCATCTCCATCACAAAGCTTATCCAATAAACATACATAATTTAAAATTTCCATGTAATTACCCAAAGGTTTACAAGGCAGAGACTTCCATAGTCATCCTTTGTGTGAAACATTCACTAAAGCAATATCTCATAATATATATACATATATTTAAAGTGCATATTTATATGCATAGTGAAATGATCCTTGATCTTTCCATCTACATGAGTCCAAACACATGGAGATGTCCACTAAAACAACATGGCTATGTCTAATTACACAAAGCATAGTCAAGAGAAAGCCTCTATAGTCGTGCACAGGTGGGAGCATGCATTTAGTTTCTCAATCAATGCTTGCATTTGGGTTTTATACCTCATATTGCAATAATGGACATCATAAGTGAATATTTGATCTACCAAGTTAGCTACTATGACCTACAGGTTACATTTTATGTTATTTAAATACAATATATATTTATAATAGATTTATAAGAGGTACTCTGAAGCTTGAAATGCCATTAAAACAACATCAATGAAGTAACTCCAAGTGGATGATATAACTAGCATAGTTCTAACAAATAGCAGTCACACCTATGGACAAGTACAAATGTCTTGAAATTCCCAAGACCCAGTTATAATTGATGGAGGCATCAAGTCATATCAAATTTGCCCTTAAACGGCCTGTTTTTGCCTCCTTTTTTTTTCCCTTTCACAATTTTGAGTCTAAATCTCTAACTGTGCATCCTATTGATGTGCCGCTTGCTCTCACAAAATTTTTTAATCTAGTCTGAGGTGATTGTGATGATCTTGGGGCTGTTTCCAATTTTCGCTTCCAAATAGCCCATTTTCGCCTTTTTTCTCACATTTTTTAGTCCTAATCTCCAACCATGTGTCCTATCAACGTACCGCTTTCTCTCACAAGTTTGTTTAATCTAGTTTAAGGTAACCATGACGATCTCGGGCTGTTTGGAGGTTGTTTCCAATTTTTGCCCCCAAACGGCCCGTTTTCACTTTTTTCCTCCCATATTTTCGTGCGTCCTATCGACGCACCGCTTGCTCTCACATGTTTGTTTAATCTAGTCTGAGGTGAGCATGATGATCTAGGGGTTGTTTGGGGGATGTTTCCAATTTTCACCCCAAACAGCCCGTTTTCGCCTTTTTTTCTCACATTTTTTAGTCATAATCTCTAACCGTGCGTCCTATCAACGCACCGCTTGCTCTCACAAGTCTGTTTAATCTAGTTCAAGGTAACCGTAATGATCTCGAGACTGTTTGGGGACTGTTTCCAATTTTTTCCCCCAAAAGGCCTCGAGATCATTACGACCTTTACCTTGAACATAAATATCATGAAATCTGATTTAACACACTTCCCTAATACCATGACTAGCTACGGTGGGGAATTTGGTGGCCACCATTTTCCAAAACTTGCACCAACATGATTTGAAGTCCAAAAATCTACCTTTGCATCTCCTCACGTTGTTTTGCATGCTCAGCCTCTTTTATTAGTTGCTTTGCTTCCTTTTTCTATTGCTTCTCCCGGTGTCTTTGTTGCTTCTCATGGAGTATCTCCAACTCGGATGTAAGCCTTTTCAATTGCACCTTACGTGCTTCTGATGCAGCATTCAACCCAGAATCATAGGAAGAGGGCTTTGGTCTGACCCCAAATCCTTTTAAGTATCCCTTCTTTTTCCTAAGAACAGCTCTTGATATATCCTCTTGTGTCATCGGCTTTCCAAACTTGATAGACTCATTCCGCACTGTCGTCATCTCTTTCTATAAGTGTAAAATATAAATATTGTTACTATTTCTCAAACACAATAGTTACTAATGTTTAATACTTGCATGTA